AAACGGTTGTTTACTGGTATCAAATCAAGATGTCCAATTTTCTGCTCTACAACTCAGTGTTATGCCTAAACTAGCGAGTCCTCGAGAGGTAGCCACTGGGTCTCCAGATACTCTTAAAGTAAATTTTTAAGATCCACTATAATGGCCTGGTGGTGATTTCGGTCTAATAACTAAACTCGTTCCCTGTATACGTGTTTCATAGACACAGCATACATCCATGGTTAGGGATCACAGAGATCTGGCGAGCGATTCCTGAAGTCAGATTTGTCATACAGTTAGGACATTGAAATCGAAGGAGAGGTCTTAGGATATTAGGAATGAGATTTCGATGACTTTGATCGTTGACAATGGTTGCAGAATGAGAGGTTAAAGATGTAAGCGACTTAATCGTACACTGATTGGTCACGGGAGAACAACCATATTCATGTTGTCTAGTCCTGGCAATGTCTCTGACTATAATACTGAGTGGCGCGGGTTCGAATCTCAGGCGAGACATCAGTTCCCTGTTGCAGGCATCGGCCTGCCGCGTGGGTGTTATTTTCGGGGCCCTTCCCTAACCCAACCTTCGGTTGGGAAGGTGGCGTTAGCGTAGCACTGCTGGTCACCCAAGGGAAACCCCTTACTGCTGTCACACCCCATCCAGCTAGCAGCAATATGACTTCGCCTTCAAACCCCTGTCGTAATGTAGTAATTTACATGATAGCGGTAACTGCTTTTCGTCTTACCACTACTACCCAACAGATCTTTCTACCATGGTAGGAACTTGAGGGAACAAGTGTCCCACCAACATAGCTCGTTGGGTCATTGTGCTAAACAAAACCAACTATCAAGTCAAGATAGCAGCTATCGGTTAAAAAGAGCAGTATACTCATACTTTGACAGGTAGTGGACTACCTCTTCAGCGTCAAAGAGGACTCGATTTAGGAAACGAACATTATGTGTCCGAGGTAGGACTATGTCAGCAACCAACTCATTTGGGCTGATGCAATTTCCCAAATAAGTAAACTGGCCCTGCCTTGTTATCCCTAAACTGGAAGTAATTAAGGACCAATGCTGAGGCATTATCTTAAATCTGACAGGTGCAAAACGCATTCCGACAACAAGTCTGTGATTTATGTTGGTGGATCCGAGACGTTTTCGTTTGGAAGCCGTCTATTAGTTAAAGCAAATGCGATAACTTGCTCCACAAGTCTTCTGTTAGACTTGCCTGAGTGTCTCCGCTGATGCTAGGAAACACAGTTGATTATTTGACTGCCATGTTCGTTCTCATCCTGAAGGCTTTCTGTAACTAGGCAAATCGTTCAAATACACAGTGCTTCCTGAAGCCAAAGTTTCACTATCTTGGTCGTCAAGTCTTTGAAAGCAGCCGTTACTTCCAGAATCCCATGCATGATAAAATCTAAACTAGGACGGCGACTAAGTATTATTTTTAATTTCTCTGAAAGCAACTTAGAAGTACTCAAATAGTCACAATAACAGGGTCTGGTGTTTGGATCATACATGGAGTGTATGGCGAATCTGTTATTCTTATACTCTGTAAGCGTCTGTGCATAGCGAGATCTAACTTTCTTGTGATTCCGTGTTTGCAAGGTAAAAACCTGCCTAGTGCAGTTTATGCGCCTGTTGCTAAGGCAACTTGGGCGGAATGGATGCTTCTTTGGTGACCAAAACTCTATGTTATTCAGCATTAGTACCATGAAAACAGACATTTTAATCATATTGGTCACAATGAACCTCTTTTAACTTAGCTATACTTATTTCATAGATGAAAGGTTGTTTGACAACTACTTTTGTCAACAGTTGAGAAAACTCATACTAATAGTTCGTCAACTAAACCAGTGTCACCTCCACGTAAAAATCCACCGGAGTTTAAGAAGAGAGAGAAATCTTGTGACAACCAAAGAGAAATCAGTTTCACAAATATTGTGTACAGGATCCTACGCTCTAAAGTTATCCGATGCCAAACCGGAGCTCGAAAACAGGGAACTCAAGAGAGACGGGCAGGTTCTAGACCTGGACGAAGGTGCAACGATAATATTTCTACTCTCAAACAGGATCTAGAACACAGATATATCTACCAGCAGCATGCCATATTTCTAGAACTGAGAATAACAGTTTATTCAGTCGACCATGAGGAATTGTGGCAGTGTTTCACTGAAAAAGGAGTATCCAGGGTGTAAACAACACTACTCAAGACTCTTTGCTCGAACACAATCAGCCGTGTAAGAGCTTATGGAGAGTTGTCGTGTGAATTGACGACATATAGTGCTGTCCGATAGAGATACGAGATGACATCTTCTCTAACTTGGTCACAGACCTTCTAATTGATACAACCATAGATACATCTGAATTCACAGGGATTGATCTACTCAGTAGGAGTCATCTGGTTGGTTTGCAGTACACAGACCATATTCTCCTACTAGGTAAAGACGCTGACACCACTCAGGCTCTTCTGCATGCGTTCAGCAGAAATCGCTGACTATGTTCGGCATGCGTTTCAACGGCACCTGTCAAAAATGTAAGATGATGCTCCAGAACTAGTCTGCTGCAAGTACTCCCAGTTCATTGATAGGCAATGAAGTGATGGAATACATCGACCAATCCACTTAATTAGGGAGTTGCACCAGCCCATCAGACTGGGTGGTTGCTGACAAAATCTCAGCTCGGATACAGAAGGCCCGTTTAGCACCTGCCAACGTGCGTCAACTGTGGCACTGACTGGCAAGATATCCGATAATCTGTCAAAGGATGAGTATTCTACACTGCAGTCAGTTCCGTCCTCTTATATAGCTAGGGGACATCGCAGCTAAAAGTGGAAGACATGAAGCGGTTACAGGGTTTTGATCACAGATATCTTCGTAGCATCGCTCGCGTTTGGTGGAATCACCGCGTAAGCAATGTTGAGGTCAGACGAAGCGTAATAGGCAAGAAATGCAAGTTGATTGATGAGGTTGTGAACTTTGGTCGACTTAGATGGCTTGGATACGTACTGTGTAGACCGAGTCATCGCCTATCTCGACACGCCACACTAGGGAAAGTTGGATTAGGTTGGAAGAGTGGCCAGGGTGGCCAGACCAACACCTGGTAACAGTCGACGAAGTCTCCCACTGTTTGGTCTGGACCGTGTGCGAAGATGTACACTGCTTAGTTGGAGTCCCCGAGATGGAAGGAGTCAGTGGTCCAGGACTCTTGGTGACATGGCTGGAAATCAGACACAGTTGTGCAGATGTGTTCACTACCTGACATCTTTTAAAGCTTTTCAATACTCGCACTAACCTTTATCTTCAGATTGTTTATCCTCTCACACTACTTTATCTACATTGATATCGTCTTGCTTCTATCCGCCTGTTGTCTGTGCACTACTGTGAAGTGTGGAGACTTGAGCCGATGCACCTATATGTGAGGTTCTAGGTTGATTTTGTTTGTCTATCCGCATCACCTAACCGAATATGTTGAGTTTTAGATGACAGCTAATACTGTTTGTACAATGATAGCCGATTAACATCCAGATAATGGAAACTAAATACTTTCGAAGAACTTACCTGAATGCTTAGGAAAAATAAATACATCATATCATTGATAGATTATCATAAATATTCCTAACTGATGTTATTTCGTGTCCAACTAAAGTCGGTTAAATGAAAAGTAGAATTGCGTCCATTGCATTCAATAAAGATAGTAGTCGAAAATATGAGGAGTCTGCTTGCAGAATCTCTCGGCACTTTGCGTATTGCGAAATACTTCTTCAAGGTAGAAAAACCTACTCAACTCAGCGAAAATACTGTTATGAGACATTGGTTATAGCCATCAACTTCACCTCAACCGATGAAAGTCCAATCCACGTATCTCAGCTTTCAAGTGAATGTTGATTTAGGGTGTATTGATTTACTGACCGAACTGATTGACAGTTTGGCCTAGTGATAACTACTCATCAGAACAGAATTATTGATGACCCTTCCTAGTGAACCAATACTAAACGACAAAAACCAGCTGGAAAACATCATTTCCTTTATATAATCAAAAGCTTTCTGCTTATTTACAATATGATTAGTTGGAAGTATCCATGGATGAGAGTCATTTCGTAAATTAATGTGACAGAACTATATCATCGGAAAGGTCAATAACTAAACTGTTTGTTTTAATTGATACTGGTTCGGTTCCATTTTCCACCACTTTATCACAGTCGCCGCATAAAATACGCATCCTATTTCAAACGATGAATCACAATTTTGGCGCAACAGGCAGTCGCCTTACACTTTGAACGTGAATGTTCATTCCCTTTCAAATATGTTAATTACATTTGTGGAAGGAATTCAAACCCTTCTATAAGATACACGTGTTTCAACTCTAACAAATACAAACTAATCACATCTTATGGAAAAAACAAGTGTTAACTTCAGGTATGTAGCAACATAAACTGACACTGAGAAAAGCATGGTACGTTATCTTTTGTAAGTGGTTTTGTGATCGAATTATCATCAGTACAGCATCAACTGACGAAATATGCCTATTTATTCATGAATAAGAATAAGACATGTATCAGTATGAGAGTGCACTTTGTACCAGCCATATACCATTTAAAAATGGGTCTGTGCGAATATTTTATTCGACTTATAACTCACTCAGGAGCTATATTTAGAATGTGTAAGCCGTTATTTGCTTGTCTGAGTTACATTAAAGGGAAATGATTAGCATAATACGCTTGCTCAATGCTTCTTTCACAAGTGGACACTATCAAAACGTCTTTTGACTTGTACGATGGAATGTCGTTTTCAGATCAAGAATATTTGCTTGAAACAAAGAAAATTTATTCTCCCTTAGCGTCTGTTAAGCATCCATAGAAGCACAGAAATCGAACTTAGAAAGTTAATATAAAGGTTTAATGTATACGTAGAATTTTAAAAACAAATAATTGAAAGCAGGTTCGCGCTTGTTGCATCAGGGAAGCAAATTGTCGATTTTTATAAAATGCAACGAATACAAAAATAACAATTAAAAATTTATTTGTTTAGATTATCAATCAGAGTAAATAATCTATTAAATTCATGTTGGCAAAAACGCAGCTGTCTATCATACGAGCCACCGCATACAAGCAATCGAGGAAGCCACTCCCCAATTACTTTGTGAAAGCGCTCATTCGGTACCATATTATCAAGTATTCGACTAATCCAATATAGAAGACGTCCACTAGCGAATAACATCCAAAACGGATCGAAACTTATGAAAGGATTTTTGAGGGATGACGGATCGGTATTGTCTATATTTGATGCATAGAATGGACAGAGGACGTCAACAAGAGCAACCAAATGAGTCATCCCAACAACCATAGTTTGCAACTCATTTAGTTGGTGTACATATGAGATACAAAAAGAAGGTTTGTTGTTTCGGCAGTACATCGACTTTGCTATATCAGCACAATTATTGAGATGAGAGCATACATTATCCAAATTACCATGGTTAGTCTTGAATGAATTACAATTCGACTTAACTGCTATTGCACAACACGAAAATGCTAGTCCCACTGGAGATTCTCGAAGGCGGTTTGCTTTATTTCGAGCATGAGAAGAGAACGTAAACCACAGAACTAACAAACCTGCCAAACCTTGCATTTCTAATGGTCTAAAACATTTGTCCAAATTTATGTTAAAATATCGTGAGAAAAAGGACAAGAAAGAAGATTCCACTACTTTAGATGTTGACGGGAAAATGGGCTTCACTTGGATCAGGTTCTTGGAAATCTCCGTACTTGATTTTCTGCTGTACTCAACGACATAATCATTTTCCACTCCACACAACTTTTTGCGAGCACCCAAATGAGTTTCCAAACCCAGAATAAGTCCATACTGAGCAACTCGTAAACTATATGCACATCTACCAACTGCATACGGAACCGTTAAATCCTCCACTGTAATACGATTAACAGAACCATGGTGTACGTATAGGGAATCCAACAAACTTGGAACCAATTCCAAGTGCTTAAATCGTCTAACTAGTTCTTTTGGCCAGCGGTAAAATATGCTTTCCTCATCATTATTCTGGGTTGGGTTAAAAGCTAAAGGAGAAATTAACATTGCTTTTAAGAAGTTTACACCAGCTTCCAATTTACACTGATATGAATCCTCAGTAATCTCCTCACATGAGCGGTTCAGTGTACCTGCCGATGGAGTATTGGATGAAACATGTTGTCCACCCGTCAAACCTAATGAATGCGCTAATGCTTCAACAGAATTATAGTAAATATACTCTAACATTCCAAGGTGCATTGTCTCGATGATGTCATTCATTTCATTTTGGTTATAAAGTTTCAGAATAGCAGTCAACGGTTGTTCTACATCACCCTGAAAACTTGAAAGCCAGTTAAATATGGCGTGAATACGCCTTTGGTAGTAAGATACAATCTTATCTCCGTAACTCTGAATTAAAGTATTTATGGTTGAAGGAAGGCGAATATTTGATACCACATCATTTCCAACGAGGATAGCGAAAATTGGCAACATTGGGTATTGCAGTTTGTAAAACGGTCCTGAATTATTCAGCACTGAACATGGCATATAAAAACATGAGCTACACATGCGAGCACAAATAGAACAAGGGTGACATCTCAGCTTACAGTCGGACGTCAATGATGACAAAGGAATGAAACGATAGACTCGGTCGCTTACCAATGATCGATAGATAAAAAAGTCAGAATCTCCACTAGTGGCTGGGCAATTTAGATAAATAGCGAGTTGTGCAACACAGAGATCAGCTTCACGCTCACATGCTGTATAGCGAATTGAAAATTCTCGCAAAATTTCTACAAGAACATATCGACAGAGTCGGGGTATTATATCGATATTTAACTGTGGATTATCTGAATCATAAGTTATGCTGCCACTAAAGAGAAAAGATGATAACTTTTTCAAGGAATCATTCGTCCGTCGCAACAAAGTATTCAATTTCGACCCCTTGGCAAAAAATGCAAATAAAAACTAGTGTCAGTTAAAAATTTTTTAGGTGTTAACGTCAATTTACGAACAGTGGATATCAAAATAATTAAATCCGAAGGGTAACATGTGCTTTGTTACTGTTAAAGACAATAAATTGTGTCCGAAACGCTAACACCATTTTACTGTGAAATATCTAATCAACAGCCTAAAATATGACCACACAATACTATGCCACCACAATTATTAACGTGTTAAAGCTATACAAATACACTTCACCTCATAATGAATTTGTGACACACCATTATCGAATCTGAAAACAAATGAAGTTCACTGATGTCTTCGAACCAACGATATGTACGTACAGGGAAGTAGGTGGAGGTAAATCTTCAAGGTGTGAATGTGCACCAAATAAGACGCATTTCATACATGCAAATACCGTTTATTCATTCGTTTTATGTTGGCTGCAGAGGAAACGTTATAGAAGCTATCAGGCAGTTATAACAAAAGACTACACAGTTTTGGTCATTGGTTACAACTATGAAGGAATTGTGCTCCCTAAGACATAAACTTGCACGAAAATCGAGCTTGTTTGCCAGTGGAGTTACCAGCAAACAACTTAAAAATGATAGTAACACAAATGGTTTCATTTTTATCTGACTGGAAACAATGCGAATTTCATTTTGTCGGTTTACTCTTTCTGATCGACAACTTGGACACGAACACTTCATGCCATACCAGCGGAACTTGGATTAGGTTGGAAGAGAGTTCAGGGTGGCCAGACCAACACCTGGTAACAGTCGACGAAGTCTCCCACTGTTTGGTCTGGACCGTGTGCGAAGATGTACACTGCTTAGTTGGAGTCCCCGAGATGGAAGGAGTCAGTGGTCCAGGACTCTTGGTGACATGGCTGGAAATCAGACACAGTTGTGCAGATGTGTTCACTACCTGACATCTTTTAAAGCTTTTCAATACTCGCACTAACCTTTATCTTCAGATTGTTTATCCTCTCACACTACTTTATCTACATTGATATCGTTTTGCTTCTATCCGCCTGTTGTCTGTGCACTACTGTGAAGTGTGGAGACTTGAGCCGATGCACCTATATGTGAGAGGTCCCAAGTTGATTTTGTCAGTCAGTGAGTAATATCAACGTTGTTGGTAATTACTTCAAATACTTCGGCCTGCCGATGTTAATAAAGAAGACAATACAATCAAGGATATATACATTTAAGAAGAACACTATAGGAACGTGAAGGATAACGAAATTATTATACGCCAACGCAAATTCCAGTTGCAGAAACAATTTTTACCGACAGATCTCCTATTCCCAGTCATTAATACTGACCACATACAGTCAGAAATGAATTGGAAGTCTGTCATCTTTCCACTTCAATGCACCTACACAGGTCGCCTGCCTACTTCGTTATACGCTCAACAACATTTGGTACAAATCTGTTACCACAACCCAAACAAGACTAGCTTGGGTCCCTCTCCTCTTAATGATCATTTGCAGCTGACTCATTCAGAAATATGGTCGGTAAAGTGAGTGCACCCATGGGTCACTGATCAATTCAGTATAATTTATTCTAACCTGGACGTCATATTCTCAAATAACACTACACCTATCAAGGTATTGAGAGTCATGTATTATCACTTTAAGGTATTCTGGAACAAATGCAACTAAATCTGATAAACGAAGGTATACGTAATCGCTAGTTTCCACAGAAAAAAGCACAATAGGCTGCAGATAAAAACAGAGATAATAATGACAGGATTTGGAATACAAACAAACCTTTTTGGGATGACATCCATCAAAAATAAAAATCGGTTCTACACGGCAATCACGAAATCTTCTTAAAAATAATCGGACATAATTATTGTAAGCTAGATACTCTCCTGCATACTGACATTGTAAAGCTGCTTGACGGTAACAGTAAGCTGCAAAGTTTTCTCCATCAACAACTAAGAATTGGTTATGCAACTCATACGGGATGAAGTTTTCACAATTACTTTGAACATAAGAAAGCAAGCCTCGAATACCCATTTTTCCTAGATAAAAAGAAAAGGGTTGACATTTGTAATTCGAGATGGAATCATTAAGAATACGAGGTCTTCTGCTTGTATGGTAGATACTAATGGTGTCACATACTAGCTGTCAACTGACTGAAGATACCTTCGGAACAAAATGGGTACACATGTAGTACACGTCTTCCACTGACATCGAAATACGAAGTATTTTTGAGGAATTCGTACCCACCCATACTTGCAGCTACTCGGTAGTAGACACTCGAAAGAAGTCGAGAAGTTCGGCTGTCAGATGTGTGACTCCTATTAGAAGACCATGAACGCAAATCAACCTTCTTGAAGAAAACGACCCACTCTGCAACCTTCTGCACATTTATACAGTAAGCAATGAGATGGAGTTAGTGTTTGCAGACTAATGGTTCTACCTGATTGCCCAAACCTCGGTAGATGGAGCCCTGTTCGAACCAGTGACTCAGTCATCAAACATCAACTCCTTAAACCAATCAGTCACAACTTCACTCACACGGAAAACGTCAAGATGGCATGTCAATGAGAAGCATAAACGATTTCATTCATCTGCCTGCGAACGACAATTCATATCAGAATCGGAACCTAATCCATATTCTGATAAATACTCGGAACTTTTCAAATTTTATTTGGGGCTTATTATAGGTAAAGATAAAGTGCCTTAACATGAAATTCGTAATAAAGTTTCGCTGTAAACCACTACGGGCCCATGTCTAACTGTGAATTGTCGTTATCTTAGATCATTTACTCTTAACATGAGGAGTGCATCAAAAAAAGTCTTGTGATTCAGTCTAGACAGGTTCTCATAGCATAAACAACATAGGTTTTAGTCGATCTTGACGACTTGATGATACAGACATCGTATGAAATAGAAATCAAAATAAGTAAATTTAAGATAATCTTAGCACTATGAATAACCAAACCAAATTTCATTGAGAAACGCACAGATAAAAATTCATAAAACGAAAGGAGTTATCAAATACTGTTTATCATGTCTCATCATGTATTTTGCCTGAAATCTATTGGAAATAAGATCATTAAAGAATAGGAATTGGCAAAGTGTTTGTGTCATATGTCTTCATAAAAACAGAATTAACAAATTGTTTAAGAAAAACTCTACACTCACCGAATTCACAAACAACATGCTTAAGAGTAATTTCTGTAACCTCAATCGATTAGCTCCACACTCACAATATACTGTTCGTAGATTTCAATGTGAGAACAAACAGCAGATTGTTGATCTCAACTATTCACCCATGTATTAACTGCAGTTCAACATCAAATAAGTTTGTAGGGAGTTTTAATAACAAATTCACCTGGTGAATAACTTGATATAATTTAGTTACCTAAATACAGTCTCACTGAACCTGAAAGTAAGCAAACACAAATAGTCATCCACCGACTACCCATACAACATGACTCAAGTACAGTAGGTAATGAATTGTCTGTCACCAAGGCATATCAAAAGTGACTGATGATAACCGTTAAGGTATTCAATACCGATCATATTTGTTGAACACATGTACATTTCTGCACAGCTTTCTATTACAGACACAGTAAAGCTCAACACAACTTCATGTACACAAATTCTAACCGTAGTACGAAATGTTTGAGATTCTAGGGTCATTGGAAACTGTGAAGATATTTGGAATGGAAAATTCAAGTCCTGTTCACAATCCATAATTCCTATAAGCTTTTGTATGTCTGTGAGTGTGTGCTTGTCTATGATTATGCAACAATCAGTACAATAACGTCATTAAGTTCAGTAAGAAAGTGGGTAACAATAATCTCAAATAGTTCCTATGACACCGAATTTCCTCACAAAACCATCATAGTTTTGTAACAAAAATATATTTTAAATAATGTACAACTGCTTTGCTCAATCATCATCACCACGCCAAACTGCGTCAACGGCATCTGTCCGATAGCGTTGAGAGACGACAGAATCGTTTAGGGGAAAGACAATCCAGCGTTAAACATTAAACACGCAGTGTGGGCTATCATAGCACCATTATCAATACAGAATCGATCATCAGTTGCAAATAGTTTGGCACCACGTTCCTCAGCCATACAACCCATCATTTCTTGTAAACGAACATTGCAGCCAACACCACCAACAATGAGGACCTCCTGTCAAACAAGACACATCAAAAAGGTTTCATCACGACAAATAATCCACAGAATTTATATTTTAAAAACCGGCAAGAATGATTATTTCAGGTTGGGGATGAACAGTTTGATGAGTGACTAGTTTACCGAAGAAATCAGGAAATGAACTCACGCATAGCCCAGGATTAATTCAACACACTCTCAAAAAAAACAGTCAAACCGATAACGTTCAGATAACAAACGTGTGGTACGTAAGTAAGAAGTTAACACTTCAAAGCCGAAATTAACCTGACATTCCACCATGAAAAGCCAAACTTCAGCTGGTGAAAAATTAAAGTCACTCAATGACTGAAAACACCTTTATATAGTTTGTATTCAACAGATTCTGCTCAGACTTGAAAAGCTACAAATCATTCTAGTATTTTAGAAACTTCAAAAGTGCTGAAAATTTGGTAGCACCAACGAGAAAGCAAATTTACGCTAACACCACGAGGAGACATTGATGACATTGCAGAGGTTTACTTCAATCGAGAAGCACAAAATATCTGATCAACTCAGCTCCGTCGTTTAAATACAGCCACAATGATCTTGAGAAAAACAAATCAAATCACATTAACAACAGAAGTAAAACCATTCGAATTGCATAATTAAGAGCCGTAAAAAAATAAGCTTTACGCAAAGGATACTGCAAATTAGGACGAATTGAAATCCACCAAAACAAGTAATTATGGTCAGTTTATGCGAATCAGGCATCGCGAAATAAAACATGAACAAGTAGTTAAACGCTGAACATCCAAACCACTGTCTTACAATAACACAAAATATTCATAAAAAGCAATCATCAGAAAGAAATGAAACTGTTCAACATCACATGACTGGAATACCTCATAGGGTAGCAACTATCGGGGCACTTTTAAGGGACCCACACACATACTTGCTAAACAGTCTTACACACAGTCATACACACTTTGTACACTCAGAGTAGGCCGTGTATGCGGTGAAGCTTTTTGCACCCAAAACACCGTAATAGCGAACAAAAGGTCGGAAATTGGCTGCACATGGACTGATAAAAGTAGTGGAAGTTTATAATAAACCCAATCAATTTACCATTTAACTACGTCCAGACATAACAATGAACATCTGAATTCACAGGGATTGATCTACTCAGTAGGAGTCATCTGGTTGGTTTGCAGTACACAGACCATATTCTCCTACTAGGTAAAGACGCTGACACCACTCAGGCTCTTCTGCATGCGTTCAGCAGAAATCGCTGACTATGTTCGGCATGCGTTTCAACGGCACCTGTCAAAAATGTAAGATGATGCTCCAGAACTAGTCTGCTGCAAGTACTCCCAGTTCATTGATAGGCAATGAAGTGATGGAATACATCGACCAATCCACTTAATTAGGGAGTTGCACCAGCCCATCAGACTGGGTGGTTGCTGACAAAATCTCAGCTCGGATACAGAAGGCCCGTTTAGCACCTGCCAACGTGCGTCAACTGTGGCACTGACTGGCAAGATATCCGATAATCTGTCAAAGGATGAGTATTCTACACTGCAGTCAGTTCCGTCCTCTTATATAGCTAGGGGACATCGCAGCTAAAAGTGGAAGACATGAAGCGGTTACAGGGTTTTGATCACAGATATCTTCGTAGCATCGCTCGCGTTTGGTGGAATCACCGCGTAAGCAATGTTGAGGTCAGACGAAGCGTAATAGGCAAGAAATGCAAGTTGATTGATGAGGTTGTGAACTTTGGTCGACTTAGATGGCTTGGATACGTACTGTGTAGACCGAGTCATCGCCTATCTCGACACGCCACACTAGGGAAAGTTGGATTAGGTTGGAAGAGTGGCCAGGGTGGCCAGACCAACACCTGGTAACAGTCGACGAAGTCTCCCACTGTTTGGTCTGGACCGTGTGCGAAGATGTACACTGCTTAGTTGGAGTCCCCGAGATGGAAGGAGTCAGTGGTCCAGGACTCTTGGTGACATGGCTGGAAATCAGACACAGTTGTGCAGATGTGTTCACTACCTGACATCTTTTAAAGCTTTTCAATACTCGCACTAACCTTTATCTTCAGATTGTTTATCCTCTCACACTACTTTATCTACATTGATATCGTTTTGCTTCTATCCGCCTGTTGTCTGTGCACTACTGTGAAGTGTGGAGACTTGAGCCGATGCACCTATATGTGAGAGGTCCCAAGTTGATTTTGTCAGTCAGTGAGTAATATCAACGTTGTTGGTAATTACTTCAAATACTTCGGCCTGCCGATGTTAATAAAGAAGACAATACAATCAAGGATATATACATTTAAGAAGAACACTATAGGAACGTGAAGGATAACGAAATTATTATACGCCAACGCAAATTCCAGTTGCAGAAACAATTTTTACCGACAGATCTCCTATTCCCAGTCATTAATACTGACCACATACAGTCAGAAATGAATTGGAAGTCTGTCATCTTTCCACTTCAATGCACCTACACAGGTCGCCTGCCTACTTCGTTATACGCTCAACAACATTTGATACAAATCTGTGCTGGATTAACAAACCTTAATAATTTCAACCAATAATTATTACCACTACTTCTTTATCTGAACATGCTTAGGTTTTCTTCAAGCTATTCATAGCCTTTTTAATAGCATATGAAAGCGTAGACGGTGAGATGATATGTGTAACACACGATACAGTCACCCAAGTTCGATTAGGCTCAGAATCTCACTAGGCAAATAGAACTGTTTGATCAACTGACAAACTGTACACCAGTAATACTTCGTAGACACAAATGATAAAAACACCTGTAACCGCACATCTACGACTACAACAACCAATCCATTTAACTGTACAACGAACCACTGTCAAGTGACATAGTCATACAACTCAACAACTTTCTGCTTCTATAAACCATATATGCTCAAATCGCCTTCAGTATAGCAGTAACTACTAAACCGCCAGTGAAATATTGAAATCATGTGTAAAGAACACTGACACATAGTTATGAGGTATGTTTAATGTAATGGTCAGCAAAATCCAATCGTCGAGTAAACTGATCCAGCAAAAATAAACAGTTTTTAGGTGCATAAATATGCGCTTTGAACTCACTTTTGCACCACAATGTGCCATAGCTCGTTCGGTGATTTCAACCACCATTGCAAAAGCTGTTTCTTGTAAGCTAAAGCATAAATCAGCTATAGTATATTCGCCCGTTTCTAAGAGTTTCGCTGCACGTTCTTCCAAGTATGACAATAATCCGGCGAAAGAAACATCCATACCTTTTACTGCATATGGTAACTCAAAAAATTTGCTTCCCTGTTTCGCTAACTTTTCAATATTGTACCCTGGACTCGGATCATTAGAGAGATTCACAATACGAGCAAACCTATATGAATACAAAATGTTAACATTTAGAAATGACTAGAATACCAGGAAGAAAAAACAGATAAATAGACCATTGTGTAAACTGCACAGTAGGCGCAAGGTGTTTCCGATAAAGCGACACCTATAAAACTTTTACACATAACTCACAGTGGTTTGTGTTAATGTGTTCAAAATATGATGAAGGTAGAAAATGATGTTTCCTGACCAACAGCAGAGAAGGAAGATACAGCTACGCTAATGTTGTGCAAGTAAGTACTCTCCAACTACTTTCTTCGATTAATAAGATAATGTTCACACTTGGAAAACAGGATATAGAGCAGGACAAACTCGATCCAATGGAGAGGAAACCAGAACTATTGTAACACCGTTTGAAATTCATGACTTCAGTTACTATTCTAGGGGTGAATTTATCGATGGAGGTTCCAAAGCGTTGGAGTTAACCAGAATAATACCTTGTAAACAACTAGAATCAATGCCCATATCGTACTGAAGATCATGACCGCAAGGCCACTGGAAGATTAATCATTGACAACATCGACTCACAGTATATTCCAAGCGTTACACTACCATTTTCTTCGTATTTTTCAATAAACTCTAAAAACCAATCAAACGATCGATACTCATCACTTAAGCTGTTAGGCTAAGCAAAAGAATTCGTAGGAAAACCTGAAGGACAGTTGGTCTGTTGTATGTCAAATTATTTACGTTGCGTATGATAATTAATAAAATACCGATAATATGGCTCAAACACGACAGTGAATAGTCAAAAGAGGGTTCTTAACTGATATGTACATTAAATTATGAAACTGTAGACTAACCTATCAAAACAGTTTCCCAAAGCTATATCAATTGTTTCACCGAAAATACGATAACGACCGGAAACGAAAGCAATGATTTGAGTATTACCACCACTGACATACAGTATAATAGGTGATTTTGCACCGGTTATAAGGCGACCCATTTCAATATGTGCTATACAATGATTCACTCCAATCAAAGGTTTGTTCCACAGCTGAGCAAGAGTACGAGCCACAACAGCACCGGTAAGAAGAGGAGCTCCCATACCGGGACCCTGCAAACAAAAATAAAACCTTGTAGATATACGTTCACGCTTATATAAAAAGTACTCATAAGTTTCGTTCACATTCATAGGCATTAAGGACAAACAAGTGGGAAAGACTATCACAGTCTTATGATTTACTCAGAATGCATTAAAACAACTAATCAGCGATATACCATATTTTCATTTATCCGTTTTATCTTAAACTGAAACTCCTTATCAGGTATCAATATTGTGCTGTCTGCAACAAAAAGTATGAATTACCAGTACGTCCACATTCCTAACTAGAACCAATACACTTAGGTTTATATAGCAAGAAAAACACTGTTTAAAAAATGGTATTACTGAACTCTAATGAAATGCCTAATCCACAATATCGTATGACTCAATTAAAGATGTCAATTTAGTAGGACAATTAGAAGCACACAAGCGCTTCTATGACCTGAATATTAACCGCTGCAGCACATAAAACGACAACGAAAAAAACTCAATAGCTTACACAAATGTCAGATATGTCTCTGAATAGTTAGTAGAAACTTAGCAAGTACGCCTGGCTGACAGAGTTATTACAGTCCGATACTTCCTTCAGGATTGAACTCTACATAAAAAGCATCTTGTATCTATTTTACCGAACTAAGGTCGATGAGACCAAAATGTAGCACAAATTCAAGTCTCTGACTGTTGGTTTGAGCAGTATGGAAAAATCCAGGGTTCCCGCTTCAAGTCCGTGTAACGACTAAGATAAATGGTTGGAAATTCCACGTAATATTGACCTAGATATTCATATCATATCTTGGTTATTCTACAGCACTTCATTACTTACCTTACCTCTTCTTCTTTTTGCCGGCTTAGACCGTAACATTTATATTTATTTTTCTTTGCACCTTACAACATTCTAATCCGCGTCCTACTACCAGCAGATGTAGAAACCTGGACCATCGTGAGTAACAACGTCACGTTATATGCTGATGCTTGTCTGCTCGAAAATGAAGACTACAATCATCGACAATATTACTCATGAATCCTGTGATATAATAATCACACAATTCATCCAGTACTCAGCATTTGAGTGAGTACAAGTCACATGAAACATATGTAAAGTAGTTCCTTAGTCTTTAACGGGTTGAGACAATAATCCATGGTCCATACTCACTCTACTTAACACAATAGATCTCTTCTCTTCAGAGCATTAAATCAATTTTCCTACTAAGTATTCAGCTAACAGCAAACAGAAATTGTTTTCGCTAATTTTAACTCTCTATTCTACATGAAAAACAGCACACTGAGTAAAAACAATCATAGAAAACAAGATCAGTGGCTTTGACTGATGTGAAATACGAATTTGTCCTAATAAAAGCCGGCACATAAAAAACGTATACAACTTTTTTATTAGTGCAACAAGTTAATCCAGATTCAAACAGACTACCTAAACCAATATATTGACTATGTAAGATTCACCCAAGAGTCGTCCAAAGTCAGAAGACTGTCTGATCTCCTCGTAATAATAATTGTTAATGTTTGATAATAATTCTTGGATAAATTTGTACACTAACATTCGAAGTGATCTAACCGGAAATAACGTCCAAGCTACAGTCAACAAACGGCGAATATGACAAGTTCACTATGCCTAAATATCAACTTGTGGCTTGGACCTATCAGACAACAGCAAATGTTAACACAGCAGAGAACCAATCAGAAGAAAGTAAGGAGCTGTTCACGTAAAACATTAGTTAATTATTACTAAGGCAATGAATAACTTTAAAGGCGATCCTAACAACTGTGGAGATAACCAATTACACTTCTCTATCTTATCAAAAGCTATCTTCTCAACCGAAATACCGAAACTTGGCTGATTACTTTAGCAGTTGCTAGGGTGACCCGTGAAGTCATTCAAAATAAACAATAATATGAAGAATTTCACAGATTTCATTGAAGATAAAGTGGTGATTCAAATAAGTATCACGTCCTTAATCTGTTGTGCAGTGACCTAAAGACTATTTACACTTTGGTTCGCGTTGTGTTCTGTCATTATTATTAGGCGTCACCCAGAAGGTCATCCTGACAACTACAGAAGTAAACAATCAGAGTTTCGCACTCTATGAGGAAATTATTTTCTCAGTCAGAATAGAGAAACCGAATTAATTACATCGGTAGTTGTTAAATTGGCACATAAAGACACTCAATATTACTTGTGGTATCTGGGACAGATAACCATTGGTGTAATCAACAATGCTGCTGCATCGCACCTAAGAATTATATCGGCGGATAGTTAATTCATAACACTAGTAGCCGCCGGTCTTTACACAAAGTAACCTATTGCAACAAACAGCGGATCTCCAGGCTGATTTTTCAAAATGTCTAGCTCATCAGATGTGAATTCATGCCAGCGGAAACCCAAGTATATTATGTTGAAGTTTAGTTCGTGGCTAACAGTGGTGTTCAGGACACGCGTTTCGTCCAAATCGCCACTTGTCAGCTTAGGTCACCGAAACCCAGCACAGCAACGAAAAATTACGAGTATCCATAAAATCCAAATCTATGCTGCAATTAAAATGTCTCACCGACCCTGCTACTCCCCACAACAAAGATTAGAATTCCCTCTATAGCCCAGTGGTCATAAATAATTAACAACAACTATACCGTCTGGTGTAGCAGTAGCCTGAGTGAGTGGATGAGTTGACTACACTGGGGTGGGGTACAGTAAAACTAACCACTGAACTGGGCCATCCAACAGGACAATTAGATCACAACTTTGAGACTACTGACTCGGTATGAACAACAAAACTAAATGAAGTCACAAGAAAGAACTGTAAGCCATTACACTGATTACATTGAGTCACTAAAATGGACACCTTAACAACTAGTCAAATAATTAATCAGATTTTAATATTCACTATGGGATAGAAGACTTTTGTGAAATAGAACATAAATGGTTATTTCAGTAGTTGCTAGGTTGCCTTTAGAGTCACCCACTACATTTCGAATGACTTTAAAGGTCGCCCTAACAGCTGCTAAAATAAGCAATTAGAGTTCTGCATTTCATTAAAAACTGCTTTTCGAAATGAAATACAGAAACCTGGGAGTGACTTTAAAGACCAACTTAGCAACGATTGAAATAACCAACAAGATTTCACTATTTTGGTGGGATAGATTTACGTAAAATAAACAAGTTAGATTGGTTATTCCAGTTTTCGCCAAGGTGGCCTTTAGAGTCAACTAAACCTAGTTAGTTATTTCAGTTGTTGCTGGGGTGTTCTTTAAAGTCACTGCACATGTCCCATAGTATTCTAACTCAAGAACCAGGTTAGAAACACTGAAGAAATTAAAATTCCACTATACAGTACAATATAACCGAGGGAAAACTTCATCACCTGATTTTTAAATAATAAATAGCCAAGTAGTGGTAGCAGGGCTAGCAGCAGGCGACAAATATCGACTACTTAAGTATATTATATTTATATTATTCATCCCTTGGGTTCCTAATGGAACTTAGGGCTTCAGTAGCACGTCTTCAGTGCACTCTCTTCTCTGCAATCTTTTCAACCGGGCTCCACGACAGCCCACAAGCTCTCATTTCATCCTCGCACGATCTCCTCCATGTCACCCTGAGACGCCCAACTCGTCGCTTCCCATGGGGGTTCCACTCGAGGGCCTGGCGCGAGATGTCCCCAGTCGGCTTTTTCAGTATATGCTCAATCCAATCCATCTCCACTTCCTTCTGCATATTTGTTGAGCGATAGCTTCTTAATTGGTTCGTTCCCAGAGTTATTGGTTGCTTATTCTTTCTGGCCATCTGATCTTCAGTAACGAGCCAGCATAGACAGTTGCTGATGAGTGTCTGTAGTTTGTTGGAAATCCCTTTCGTAACGCGCCAAGTCTCTGAACCATACAGGAGCACTGACTTGACGTTGGTGTTGAAAATCCTGATCTTGTTCCACATGCTGAGTGCAGAAGATCACACTGGTTTCCGGCTAGTGAAAGACTGTCTTGCTTTTCCGATCCTGGCTTTGACGTCCTCGTCTGTGCCGCCGACTGTAGTTGAAACAGTGCTGCCTAGATAGGTGAAAGAGGCTACTTCCTTTAAGTTTCTCCTAATGATGGTGATTGGAGCTTGTTGTTGCTGTTGTTGTTGGTTGGGTACCTTCATCACCTGTGTCTTCTCTACGTTCACTTGGAGTCCCGTCTTCGCTGCCCTAACTTGCCTTTTCTACCAACTTGCTAGTTTTCGCCTGTAGATCTTCAAGTTTGTGCGACATTAGACACAAGTCATCGGCGAAATCTAAATCTTCTAGGCTCTTTTCATCGGTCCAGCGTATGCCCGTCTTCTCGCTCCTCACTGTTTGCTGCATGATCCAGTCGAGTCGACCATAATCAGGAATATCATGAGTGATAGTAGGCAGCCCTGTTTTACTCCTGTCTCCTGTCTTCACTTCAAAAGCATCACTGAGCTTCCCATTATGAATTACTTGGCATGTGGTGTCTTCATATAGTTGTTGGATGAGGTTGATAAAGATTTGTGGTATTCCGTAGTGTTGCAGCAACTGCCAAATTACTTCTAGATCGACGCTGTCGAAGGCCTTTTCAAAGTCGATGAAGTTGAGGTAGAGAGTTGACTGCCATTCTACGCTCTGTTCTATGATGATGCGAAGCGTTGCAATTTGATCCGCACATGATTTGTACTATAGCAACGACTGAAGTGGCCAATAGGATTTCTTCATCTTGACGGGAAAGGCAGGTTTCTACGGAATAGAGAAGTCAAACTGGTTATTTCAGTTGCTCTTAGGGTAGCCTTTAGGATCACCCCATGTTTAATCCCCTCTTACATATCTCTCAGGAAATAATGTGGGATCACTGCATGATAGCAAGAGAACGAATGTGATGCTACAATACTTTCTCCCATTTACTTTCAGACCGCTGAAAATAACTTCTTTGTGAGACTAAACTATGGTTATTTGCCATCACTTCTACTACCTCCGCATACTGAAAATTGATTGTATGACTTCGAGAGTCATTATAGGCGGATGAATCTGGCATTTTATGAGCCGTTGCACATGGTTGAAATTATGACCTTTTTGGAAATGAACTGCACACATTGAAAACGTCATCTTCAACGAATAATTCTTCATAAAAGTTCGATTCATCTAATTCAGTATTATCAAACAGATTTCTGTCACATTACTTTGTAATCGACCTAGCATCAGACCTTATAAGCAGTCCATTGATCGCCAATTGATTCTGCAGCTCGGTTCTGTATCCGCAAAGTATACCGGATAGCGAGGAGTCAGTGATTTCAGAGTGCAGCTCAGGAAGTGACTGAATCAAAATGCTGTCTAATATGTGATGGACTTCAACTGAGATTTTATACTGTTCTTATCTGAACAAGAGGTTAATTTTAGCTTATCCACTGAAATGAGTGGCTCTACGGGTCATCATAACTCAATTAATAGCCAATTAGGTTTCTTTATTATATGCGAATACCAGCCTTGTCGGAAAAACAATCAACCGAATCGGTTATTTCGAGTGATTCCAAAGGCCACACCATACAACCACTAAAGTAATCAGTTACGTTTCACCATCTTGCTAGCTTATCGTTCCCCTTAAAATAACTAAACATAATTAGCTATTTCAGTCGTTGGTAGCGTGGTCCTCAGAGTCACTCTGTTACCTAAGAATGATTCTAAAGGCCACCTCAGCAACCACCGAAATAACCAACTAGCTGTCACTATTTTGGCTAGACAGATAGTTTTCTTGTAATCAGAGAAACCTAAATGCTTATTGTAATACTCGCTACAGTGGGTTTCTGAAATTGGAGTGATCTGAGACTGCATGCCTGATAATGCTTTTTGTGCCAATAACTGGACGTCATATCTAAAGCATCTGGCGAAATTACTGCAATAACCATCTGAATAAAACCCAGTTAACAGGAATTCCCATAACACGAAGGAATTAGCCACCCTATCGTCACTGACTCTAAAGGTTAGCCTAGCAACCACTGAAATAGCCTATTACGTCTCTGTATTTCATGCAGCAAGGTGCTTTTTCATGAAGTGAACAAAACAACTTAGTTATTTCAGTCGTTACTGCGGTGGCTTGTAAAACGATTCATGAGATTGCTTCATTGAGGTTGAAGAAACTGAATGATGCCAACAAACCGATTTGTAAGCCCATGACCTGTATGTACTTCTAATGATATCCAGATTCAATAGCCATGAAAGGAACAAGACCCAAAGGGACAAAAACCCTTACGAATGAGAACAATGATTTATGTACTGAAATACGTCCAATTTAAAAAAGCTGTTATTTAACCTGGAAATAACGAATAGTCAGTCACTGGTACTATGGTGCTAAGCAACCAGCCAATAAATCTTCGATCAACCAAACTATGACTTCACCCTTTTTATTCCCTTTAACATTAATAAAAACACGATTATTCAAATTTATTTAAACAAACCTTAGTGTAAGCAACAGCATCCAAGTCAGATGGGTTAATTTTCGCCTCTTTAATAGCCTTCCGAACGAGTTCAATAATATGAGACTGATGAAATCTAGCTGTTTCTGTTGGCTGGAAACCTTCTCCAGGTGGAGTAATGTATGTAACTCGTGGATTAGCAAGTACAGAGCCATCTCGAACTATTCCAACACCCAACTTGTTCGCACTACCTTCAATGCCTAATACGATAGTCATGGTTTCTACAAATTAAAATAAATTAATATTGTTCTTGAATTTCCGATCAAAGTTACTGGGAACTCAAAACTTCTATGCATATAGATTGCAAGTATATCAATATCACATAAGCGAAAAGCCACTGTTACTACTACTACGATAGGCGAAAAACGTGCACACTCCTGCAGTAGGCGTTGAGCGACACCTATTATGTGAGGGTTAATGTTACTTTCTGGTTGTCCATAACTCCATAGATGGAGCGTGTTACAACCCATGACGGGATCAAATGAATTCATAAGAACCCCATCGGCTCGCTCTCACATATTGCGACTTTTCTAACTGGAAATAAACATGATACAATGAATCAGTCTAAAAGCCTGCATAAACATGGATCTCACATCGAAAGTTACTCATTTAACGACTTGTTTAAACAGGGAAGAAAGCAATACAACATTAAGACCACAAAGAAAATTGTTTTGTTCAGTTACTCAGACTGAAGTAGGGGAACTGAATCTAAACTTGTGAACAAAGAGCTACGATTTAAACCACTGTATTCTTCAGAAAATGTGCTTCTAGTAACCATTTGACTTAAGCAGTATACCTGCAATGAAATATGTGATTTCCTTTTCCATAGGAAAATACGATTGCATAAAACACCTCTCCAAGTTTGCCTTGTTTTTTATTATATTCAGCTCTTTTGCCACCCTGTATTAGGACAATGGGACATAGATGAGGCTATCAAAGAAGTGAACAAGTATGGTAATCCTTCAACGTAAAACAAACATGTTAACAAAATGTGCCAGCAATTTTATTTCTTCAAAGCAATGAACTCATAGTCTACGTAACGTTTGTGTTTTCTTCGAAGAACGTACTAAGAATATCAGTGGATAAATTCGAGTAACCACAAGCTTTCGAAATAATTCTTATGATGAGATGCAGCGAAAAAGAGCAGATAGGACTCGAACAACCGTATTTCGATCAATTATCTCTGATATACTGTAGATGCCTTACCTAAACAGTTACCTAAAAGTACTACAACGTAGATAAAGTTGTGTAGGCTTATCGCTGGTCATTAATTGCTTTCTTACCTCTTCACACTCAGATTACCGATCATCTCACCGCGAAATTTGTTATTTATCCAATCACGCAAACTGCTTCCTTGAGGCTTTGTAAGTTACATTTATCGATCGACCAGTTTCTATTTTCCAAGAGAATCAGTTATAATTAGATGAAAGAGTTGACAGTATGTGCCTATTTTTATTAAGCTCCCCATAGGTGAGGGTACTTGAGTAAAGTAGAGGTGAGATATGAACAATGGTGGGAAACACAGCCAGTCATACGCATCAGATCAAGCTCTGAAAGCTATTCGAAGTAGAAACAATAACCACACCTTATTGTGTAAAGGCCTTCCGTCCTCCTGCATACCAATCAGTTAATAAAAATTCATATATATATATATATATATATATATATATATATATATATATATATCTTATTAATGTCTACTTTAATCAGTTGAATGTAAGCCATGGTATCTTCAAATAGAGTAACTGTGTTTCGACTGACCAAACGTGCGAAACAATATAAAAATTCAGACGTTAGCGCAAAGATGAAGCATGAATAAAGGGGTGTGCCCTACAGCCCCTTCTGATCGGAAAATAAGAGAAATCCAGTATCGTAGTAAACATTTACTTGTGGTGTAAATATGTTGCATTGCGAAGTCTCAAAAACATCTCACTGCAAATTGCGGAGGCTCATGACAAACAGTACTCTACAAACAAAACTGAAAAACTGATATATAACAAACATACATTTGCACATTCCAAAACAGTGAGTATGGCAGATAACGTAATTATATTTCTTCATACAAATATTACTCAGACAAATTAACGTCTCTTTTCCCGCGAAGTGGTAGGACCAACAGTTGTACTAACTGGTGAGTTGGATGAACATGAGACCACGCTGTTATTTGAAGTTACACTCGAGTCAATGGAACGCAAAGACTTTCTTGTTCGTTTCTGAATGGAGGCATCTAAATAACAGAAGTCGAAGAACTTTATTCATCATACTCAATAAATATACATAAATCCATATAGGTTGATACAAACAGAAATTATTTCACAAGTAACGCAGACCAAGACCAAAAATATTTAAGTATTCGAATGTCTGAACTCAACTGCCATACAGTGTAGATTAATAAAAGTGAAAACAGTTATTAGAGTTTGAAAAATAAAAGTGTGGTCTATTCAGAAGTATGAAGATCCGTACAGATGGCTACCCATTGATAAATTTTCTAAGCCGAGCGTTGCTCACCCTGAGTGGTGAATCCTACGGGCGGCTGCTGGCGTTGTAGTCTATCCAAAGTGTTTCTACAGCTATTTTTCAGTAGCCACAGCCGATAAGTAAAACGAAATCGACGGGTATCAGTAAACTAACTAAACTGAATATCTAGTCACTGAGTTTGACGGTAGCAACAGTGATGAATGTAAGCCAAAAAAAAGCAAGCCTCGGCAGTACAAAAACAGGTGGTGGTGGCTAGCTAGTTAAAAGTCGGCAAAGACGATATGTTTCACTTCTGGAAGCAGAGGGTAATGGTAAAAAAATTGATCAGTAAAATGAAGGTGCAAGTATTTCAAATGATAAGTTATGCTCCTTTCCTTTCAGATTAGACCATTGGTTGTTGCAGCAACAGACAGAGGAGCAAGTGGTGCAAAAATAGACCTGAAAGGATGAGGATTTGTCAGCTTGGTTGATAGAAAAATCACCATCTTTTTAGCAGACAAAGGGATCAGACCACGCATGCTAGGGGTTAAAGCCACCAGTGGAGCACCATGCATTAAAGATTTTCAGGCTTCCACTCATGTCATAGAAAAGGATGATGGCGAGATACGTTACCTGTTCATTGTGAACAAAGGTGTACGACAACTAATATTGAGAGTGGGTTTCCTAAGAGATAGGAGTTATAAGTGACACTAGAAGTAGAAAAGTGAGCACAAAGCATGTTGCGCTGGCAATACATGAAAGCAGAAAAGTAGAGGTAGAAACAGCAACAGCAACCCAGGAGGAGAAAATGAATGTTGGTTATGATATACTCGAATTTACTCACTGAAACGAACGAAACTCACTCACCCACCTTGTGCACATCCGTGCAGTAGCCAATGAACCACACCTATTGTGCGAGGGATAGTGATACTACTTGACTGTAAAAATCTCGGTCGGTGGAGCTGAGTTCGAACCCATAACCCACTGGTTGACAGTCATCTCCCTAAAACACTGACCCAAAGCTCTACAGTTAGTTCGGAAATAATTGACTGTTTAGTAGAGTTAATGAGTATTATTTCATCTATCCATGAAATTTGACGTTTCATTTTTATGAATTTATGATTACTTGTGGTCATGTCATTCAGATTACCTGATAAATACGGATGGTACGCACAAAACGTTTTGTTCTGTTGTAAGAAGTTGGGAGGGTCAAGTTACGTGACTTTCTGTGAGTGAATCGACTATACGAGACGTGGCAAGCACATATGAGAGACTAATCAGGTGCAACGTGAGCGCTAGAAGGGGATCGGTAAAAATCGAGTGACTTTAAAGGCCACTCTAGCAGACTTAAATAGCCAATTAGATTGCTACATTTCCGCATGGAAAGCAAATTTTCAAAAAATCAAGAATTCTAATTAGTTATTTAAGTTGTTGTTGGGGTGACCTTCAGTCACTTCGAAAACCACGTGGTTTAGACAATCACTACCAGAAAGAGACGAATAACTGACAGTGGGGTCAAAGTGAATATTAAATACAATATTTGATCAAGTTTAGTTCACAGTAGAGTAGCAGCAACTGGAACAGCAGAAACAATTCGAATACGCTAAAGAACGCCCCATTCAAGCGCTGACCGTAAAATTATCAGCTCAGTCTATCCTAATCCCACAACAGAAAAATACTGAGTCTGCTCTCTGCACTATTGCTGAATTTTATCATGACGCAGAAAATGGTCTAACATTTGAATCATGGTTTGGACGAGTAGATCTATTCTGTATTGTAGATTGAATATGTTTCCACTGATGTTACTACGAAAGTTTACATTTTATTACAAAAATCGGGGTTAAATTAGCATTTAAAGTATGAGAATTTCATCTTCCCGAAGCACTGGAAAGATGTGAATTTTGATGAGATTATTGGAATTTTGAATGAGATTTTTGGTAAACGATCATCTTTATTCCATATTCCTTTCAATTGTCTGAATATGGTGAAAGGAACTGATGAATTTTACTTCGCCTATAGCAGGTCAAATCAGTTTACAATCAGAATGATTCTCTATCTGATGATCAGTTCAAATGTTTGTTGTTTGTTTCGCGTCTCCATTTTCCCTGACGATCCTGATATCTGAACAAGAATTTTGTCAGCAATTGAACCAGACCCATAAATGACCCTGCAGATAGTTGCCTCAGAACGCCAGCGTCTTGTCCATCTGAAACTTGTTACCGCATGATACAACGGAGAACCACAACCACTAATGTCTGTAAATTATATTCAGTCAAGCAAAGGACACCAGGATTCAGGTAGTACTTCTGCCACAGGGTTGTTCATCAAGCCTCCTACAGATTGCTGGTCTTGTGGTTCATGGCGCTTCCTAAATTCTGCCTTTTCAATGCAATTTCTCATACAATTGCACACAAAGAAGAATCCTACAATCTAACAACGAATCCCGAACAAAAGTCATGGGAGAAATTTCCTGCTGCTCGTAAAACCTGTATTCAAAATATTTATGCAACGTGTGCTGTCAGCCTTGAGGATAAACAGTGATACGCAAAAGCTGTCGATGAGCAGAATGCAGATCCGATTGCAGTTAGATACTGCGCCAGATATTATCCCAATCCCTAAGAAGACGAGCAATAACCCTAGTTTTCTACATAAACCTTACAGGACAAAAAACTCGAAATGTGTCCTGGGTTACTTTGAAGCTTACTAATACAGCAGATTGCAACCTGAAACTTGGTAACCAATCCTTTGCTGGGACATGCTATCTGACAAACCGTCGTGACCTGGATCTAACGGGTATCAATAACACATAAAAGTTGAAGCTATGGAGTGTTCCATGAAATACACTAAGTTCAGTGCATGACTCGCATAAAAATGATCATAAATCTGTTTTAAATATGTCTTCCAGTATTTACCAGTCAACTGCAACAGATTTGTACCAGAAGGATTCAAGTGTGTTCCAGAAAACCTTGGGGCGTTGTAGTATGAGGAAAGTTAAACTTTATCTCTGAAATGATGCAAAACATCTCTCGTCCAAAAGCTCCACGAAAAATGGAACTGCATTTTGGCAAGCTCCAACTCAACCTTGTTCTCGAGTACACTTCGATTTTGTCGGTATCAAAGAACAGAGAGGAGGAAGAACCGAGATAACCATACAGAAATTTTCAATATATTATCGACCAACACCAAACTAAGTACTGCTTAATAAATGTCGACTAGCAGAAGTTATGCTTCGTGTCTCCACAGAAACTGACATTTATATCTACGTGGGACTATTACGAACCGACCAAGAAATAGGAGTTTGAATCCCCCAGTTCAACGGAGAGAAGCTATCCCTAATATCAATAAATATAAAAACCATGCTCAAATGAACATGGTGTAGTTAGGAAAGTTTTATGAGAAATATACAGTGAATATAAGGAGATAAATCTAAACTGAACTCCAATCCATTTGATCATGAATTTTCTTGCTATGCTTGTAATTACCATTCGGATGTTTCTCGTGCGCCGAAGAAATCTCTTCAAGGCATTACGACTATCACACTTAAGATTAATACAACTGAATGAGATCCAAGAGCCAGCTTTTCTATCGTCTTATCATACAGTAAAAGGTTAACCATAAGACTAAACCTGGATTTCCACAAGAATTGACGTCCTTTTGATGAGATAAATGATTATCAGAAAATTCTAATGTGAATATCACCATAGCTATCTTGGGAAACACTACCTGCCTTTTCAATTTGGCTTTATACCGCTTGCTTAGTGTCATGGGAAGCTTAAAGGTTAAGACTTGCCAACTACCTTGGGCTACGCACTATTTTCAAAGATTTCTTTTAACCCTATAAATTTAGTGAAAATAGTTTAATAACACAATATTTTATCCATGACCCGTTGTTGCGCTAAAAGTTTCCAAGGATCTTACGTTATAGTAAAGATGGATAGTGGCTAGCAGTGGAATCCAGTGGTTCGATGGTGTAGTGGATAACGCACTGGAGTTTGAAGCGATCCCACCCGGGTCCAAATCCCGGTGGGAACAACATCACTCACTGGGAGGCAGGTACATCCAGACTGCATTCCACTGCTAGCCACTATCCATCTTTACTATAACTAGAGCACAGGTATATGGAGACATCCGCAGAGGAGCCAATATGCTAATAGAGACCGATCAATTCGGTCCAATCAACAACGGTATAATACGAGCAATAACACTAGATCTTATGTTATGCCCGTCACAACCATAACACTAGAGTAAGTATGCGGTAAGAAACCAGACTGGTATAAACAAACATGTGCAGCCTTGGTAAAAACGGAACCCTTAGGAGGTGACGAAAGGTGAGTTGTAGCATCATGAGCTCACCTGTACGAGGAGATCGAGTGGAAGATATCCTACTCAGTGACGCAACACGAGGATACTTGAGAGATTTCAAGGAGTCGTATTCCTCTGGGAGGCTAAATTCCTTCATTTTTGCTTGGAAGGGATTAACTTCGGAGTCGTGCTGAGCAAAAATAATCCAATATTAGTAACGTGGAACTACCAATTCATCCATATTATACAGTGAACTTAGCTTTTTCCAAACAGCATCTGCACTAACTGGTTCATTGAGAAAAGAGTTTATGAGATTACACACATATATCATTTGGAAATGACGGTCTGCTCCAACAGGTTTATGATTGAGTATTGCATGAAAAAGTTGAATTTCTGACTCCAGAGTCCACATATCTGAGTCAGACTTTTCAATCATGTGAGAAAATTCTGAGCACTAGAAAATGTAAATGGGTAGAGGTTTAGGAGTACATGATTACTGAAAAATTCCTACGCTGATGCAATATGATGCAAAAAATGTTGATCCGAGTAGGTCTACTATGCACTGCTAAACCGCTTATGACTTACCGTAAATCCCAACCGAAGAATTTAGACGACAGAAAGTATAACATATTAATTTCCTACTGACCACAATAATCAATGAGACTGCAAATTCAAAAGTTGCAAAATAACTGTATCATTTCCATAACTGACATAACTGTCTACACTACTGCACGGCCGATAACTGTCTCAAAAATTACATATTAGATGTCGACATAAATCTGTAGACCATCTGCATACTTATATGGAGATGTCAAGACGCGTGATTTGTATAGGTTCCTTTTACAAATCTATCTGTTTTCGCAGTGTGTACATAGGAAAGAAATACACTTTGTACGGATTTCCGTATCTTAAAAGAGTACAAAGTATTTTCTATTTCACCAACATTGGAAGAAAATTTAAACAAACCTCAGTAATATAAAGAGTATGGGGGCACGGTTTACGAGTACTGCAGCATTCTGAAGCAGTTAAGTCTTGTCTTAATCGAATAATTGAAAATATTGAAATGTACTCAGTAACCATATCCATATTCATGCAGTGGGCAGTGAACCACACCCATTGTGTCAGCTAATTGTACTATGTGGCTACCCAATAACTCTATAGATGGAGAGGATTTTGAAACCATGACACACGTTGCAAACTGAGTGTTTAAACCAATGACTCACAGCTCTCAATCTAATCATGTTTATTGAAGTAAACAAACGTTACTCTAAAAAAGACTTCTGTGATCTTTACCATCAAAAGACAATCAAGTTGTACATATGGTTAGCCATGAAAAAGATGTTAAGAAACTGAAAATGTGACCTCTCCTTTACGAAAGGAAAAAAAAATGATAGCATGCATTAATTGCTTCTCAGATAGGAGAACAACAAATGCCACAACTAACTAAATGCCTATTTTTTGTACATATTGGGTGTGTTGACATTCTCAAGATATTTCATGTAAACTTTGGTCAAGATTTTAACAAATAGTTTTACAAACACTGAGTGAAGGGTGAAGGGTAGGCTCCCGACCGATAGCTGCAACCCTGACGTGGTAGTCATCATCATCATCATCATTATCAACATAGGACCAGGCATTACTGCGTAACGGTCCGAGTTGCCACACCTCATATCAGCACATCAAGTAAAAAGGTAGTGAGGTGAAGGATGAAGATAAGTGAATGCAGTCAAAAGAAATATAAAGTACGAGAAGAAAGGAAAGAGGAGTGACAAAATAGTGAGATTCGGTATAGCGTTGTTAAGATGAGGATAATGTGTGTATACATCTGCGCCACTGACTTCGGTTCTGAGCCATATCACCTAGGGTCTCCAACCACTGGTTCCTCTTGTCCCGTGGACCCCAACCACCTAGTCTGCATCGTCCTACATGGCTTAAACCAACAGTCAGAGACTTCATACATTGGTGCCATGTTTTAGTCTGGCCACCTCGGGCCTTTTTCCAGCCTGAACCCACCTCAGCCAACATTGTGTGACGAGGCAATCGGTGACTAGGCATACGTAGTACGTGTCCCAACCATCTCAGTCGATGAAGGTTCACAACCTCGTCGACTGACTTACCTCTTCTCCCTAAAACTCTACACCTAACTTCTGCATTACTCACATGGTGACACCACGGAATACGTCCTATACTACGAAGGCAACGGTGGTCAAATACCTGTAACCTTCTCATGTCTTCCACTTTCAATGGCCATGTTTCACAGCCATACAGTAGAACAGAGCGGACTGCTGTGCAGTACACGCGACCCTTAATAGACAAACGAATATCACGGCGGCGCCATAGGTGGCGCAAATTGGCAAAAGCCAATCGAGCCTTTTGTATCCGTGCAGAAATCTCATCGGCAACTAACCCACCGGGTTGATCCTACTTCCCAGGTAAGTGAAGTGGTCAACACACTCAACCACTTCACTCTCTATTGTTAACCGCGGTACCGCTGAAGACCAGTCCTGGAGCAAAAATTTGCATTTGGGTGGTGAAAATCGCATCCCAAACATTCTCAAATTCCCACTCAAAGTGTTCAGAAGACTCTGCATCTTGTCAGCGTCTTCACCTAACAGGACTATGTCATCTGCATATTCTAGATCTAAGGAAAATTCACCTGTGATCCGGTCAACGTCTTTGTAATTAGGTGACGAGAGGGAAACCTCCATAAGAATATCTATGATAAAATTAAATAAGAATGGGGATAGTGGGCATCCTTGACGGACACCACTTGATGAGTATAGCTCCCTGGACAACTCACCATAGGCTCTAACATGCCCACAAGTGTTCGAGTAGAGAGCTTTCAATAAGGTGATGTACTTACTAGGCACGCCTTTCAGTGACAGACACTGCCATAAGACTTCTCGATCAACGGAGTCAAATGCCGCCTTCAGGTCGAGAAATACAGCTATTGTCGGGCGTCTGTAAGCATGCCTATGTTCCAGGACCTGGCGCAGTGTGAATATTTGGTCGATACATCCACGGCCAGGTCTAAAGCCTGCCTGGTTTTCTCGGGCTTGCTGTTCCCGAGCTCCACTCAGGCGTCGGAGAATTATAGAACTTAGGATCTTAGACACTATGTTTGTCAGGCTGATTCCTCTGTGGTTATCACAAGAGGACTTCTCGCCTTTCTTGAAGACTGGGATGATGAGTGACTTAGACCAGTCGGAGGGGATCGTATTTGATTCCCATATACTGGCTAACACTTCCGTTAGCCTGACTAAGAGAACTCTACCACCATTCTTGTATACCTCAGCAGGTAGTCCGTCTGGTCCTGCTGCCCTTCCCCGTTTCAGGCTACCTACCGCTTTCTCAACTTCTTCTAGTGTTGGGGGACCTGTCTCTATGTCCCATTCAGGGTCCGACTGGATAGCGGGCAGCGCAATGGTGGCTGGAGGCCAGTTAAACTGTTCCTCAAAGTGTTCTGCCCATCGTCCCAGTCGCCTTCCCTGCGAGTGAATCGCCGATCCGTCCTTCTCCGCTATAACCTCACTAACTGTTGTTGACCATTTCCCCCCAGTCTCCTTAATAAGTCTAAATAACTGTCTACTGTTACCGATCGCCGCTGCCTTTTCCATCTCTTTAGCCTTTGCTGCCCACCACTGTTCACGATCGTTGCGCAGACTTTTCGTCGGTTTGTATGTCACAACGACACAACAGGTTATTCTTTCTGGAACGCATATTCTTTGAGGTCGTACTATGCCAAATATGTTGTATGGATAATGGTAAGACGAAAAGCAGTTACCGATAAAGTGTAAACTGCCACGCCATAATGGAGGTCCTAGGGTGAAGTTGTACTGCTGGTTGGATGGAGTGTGATAGCAGTAAGGTGTTTCCTGTGGATGACCAGCATTATCATGCTGATGTCGCCTTATCGGTGGGAAAGGGGGTTAGGAAAAATTGGTCCCGAGATAGCATACTCTTCCCTGCCCTGCCGTCTTCAGGTGCCGGTGGTATACGTTTTTCTATCCGGTTAAAACAATCATACAGCATACCAGCAATTCTAAGAAGACTGTGTCTGACAGGCCTTAACATATGTATCGTGGGCTCGGTAGTCATACAGACTTCTCCTTTTCTCGCTCCTGTACCCCACAGAATCAATTTTCACGGTGTGGGGAGCTACAAGGTCCCAGCCGGCCGCTCGATTCCAGTGGTATGTAAGATCCAACTAAACATAACCTATCCCTCTCACTCTTGTCTCTTGCATTGCCTTCACGTTCCGATACTAACATTGGGCCTATTACAGCTTTTACGATCTATCTCTGCGTTCTCTACCAGCGATCCTGTTAGGGATGGCCAATCCCTAAGATAACTAACTTATATTTTTATATTATCATTGTAAAGTTTAAACCTTATTTTCGCGCCCTTTTTGCGGCATGCTATTTTTTATTATTACCGCAGTTTAGAATACTAAACGCTGGTTGGCCCATTTTGTACTCTTAATATGCCATTTGTTTCCTCAGGCTAAGGCCATCTAAGGATTTTTAAACTACTGAGTTTTCACTAGCATTCATTCCGTTGGAGTGAATAAACTTTCAGTCTCATCGTCTTCTGGTGTCAGCTGAATATCGAATTGAGAATGCATTGCTCTATCCTTAATCGTATTCGTCTCGGAGCGTTGCGTCGTTATCTATAGTGTTGGATCGTAACAGATCCAAGTCACCATTGCGAGTCTCCAAAAACCCCACTGCTGGCTCCACATTAGAGTCAAATCGAACCTTAAACATTGCTCACCAAAACGTTAACATCTCTGCTTAAGCACTCACTGACTGCAGTTCGGATGAAGTGTAGGATGAGTATTACAGAAAACTGTCAAACATTCGAACGTAGTTGTTGCTGCAAGTGAGTTCAAAAAATAAATGGGTAGGCAAGTTAGGCAGAAATGCATTTAGGTGGCACTGTTGAAATCTAAAACGAACGAACAGATAACAGTGGTCGCCTGCTAAAACTGTGATCAGACAACCAACTACTTTTGGCTAGCACGAAATTCAGCGAAAAAAAAGTAGCACACAAAACCCAGTCACACAACATATCCTCCACAATTATGTCTCCTCCTTTGCCTTAGTCTTATGATCTTAATATAAAACCTATTACGCCTTGCACAACCTGTCAATCTGCAACCACTATGGACAATCAAAGGGATCAATACCTCATTCTAAGTCTCCTGAGACCCCACGCGACATCGATCTCATGTAGAAGCCTTCAACGTCTGAACTCTATGGTCAAATCAGACAGCAACCATAGCTCACTGAAACTCTGGAATCTCTAGCCATGAACTCATGATGTGTCGAAGAGGCACGTATTCAGCACCAAAGTGTGGTTATTAGATTGACCTCATCGGGAAATAGAACTTAATCTTCAACATTCACTTCAAGAGTATCCTGAGACACAATAGCCAGCTCTCGCACACTCGCT